TTTAGTCTAGTTTCATACGAAAATATGTGGACTGGGTTATTCGACTACATCAACACTCACGTTTGTTTGTTCAATTGCGAGTAACGAATATTAAACTTAAAGCTGCCTTAATCTTGATAGGGCTACGTTATTGAATTTGTACATTTTGGCTTGTCTTACTATCAAAGCAACTTGTCAGATGTGTTAGGTGGTGTACTGATCTACACATTTTAAGAGATAACTCTTTTTTTTACGTTTTTCTTTATTTTGGCAACTACGGACATTATTTTTCAAGACCTGGCCAATATTAATAAAACAAATATGGGAGAAGACTCTGCGTTTATATTTTGTGAATAAAAGTTGACTTCAACCATGGTTAAAAGCACAGTGAAAACATCAATGAAGGATACCTGAACACCAAGGCGGTGGAGTAGTCCCAGTCGAATATGATTCACAGTTGACACCTTCGTAACTATCAACGCACTCACACACGTAACCAACCATGGAGTCGGAGCACACACCGTCATTCAGACATGGATTGGACGTACACGGACTTCCTGCAATGTGAAATGTACATTTTCACATAAACAATGTATCTTTCAATTTAAAGAGGGGATTGTGAGGTCATCATATCGCAAAGTAAGCACGCGGGTGGTACGGGATTGCTTTGACCTCCGCTACGCGATGGTTGATATGAGTGTCGTACTACACGAGCTGCAATAATTTACAAACTGGGTGTTAGTGAATCTATATTATTTGAAACATACAGCAATTTAGAAAGCTAGAAAGTCTGTGTTATCAAATACAGGAAATTATTGGCATTGATTTCATAAAAAAAATCATAAGCCAGGAATTACCTGGTATATTACATGTCTGGATATCAGCGTTATCAATTACGAATGAACCAGCAGACCATTTGATAAGGTTACCAAAATTACTGCTCAAGTGATCCGTTGCCATGGTTACCAGTTTATCCGTCACTCACGACGTAGTCCCATACATTGAAATGCGCAAGCTCCCCCCAAAATGTTGAATTTTTGGATAAAATTCATTTGCAGACGGCCCAATCTTCCTGTCCCAGAATAAAACTTCCACCGCCTGGTATGGTGTGGCCTGACTTCATGTTGGTCCCGGATGCACACAATTCATCGTCCATGAATAGTCTCCATGTCCCTGAAGTGCTCGTCCAAGTTGTAGCTACAAAGTGCCAGTGACCGTCGTTTACGCTTGTAACACACTCCCCCCAATAGTAATCAATGGTGAGAATAAAGTTATTTGGGTTACAAAACTTGAAGACATCGGACAGATTCGGTAGCGAGTAGGAGAACACACATCCCTGCAGTAGAAGAGTTGGTCCGTATCCAAACTGACGTAGTGACATCAGTTAAGCTCGGAATATCCTCGGTTACAACAACACTAGAGCTCTCCCTTATGACAAGCTTTTTATCCCAGACTTCTACAGAAAAATAG